AGGTTATATAGCATAAATATGTGAAGTACACCTGCAGTATGGAAACAGTACAACAAAATGGCCGTTTTACACTTTTTTCTAGTAAATTCCCCTCTAATATATATTCTATTCTCTATGGGCAAAACATTGATAACAGTGTGTACTGCAATCGTACTGCAATTGTTCCATCTCTATCTGGGTAACAATGACGAATGTATCATCTTTTTATACGTGTTCAATTTTCTTAAAATTTTCTTAAAATTTCATCTACATCATAAATCCGCTAGTCACTCTAACAGAAAAGCTACAATTGAAAATAATAATTTGTTAGCTAGAAAAATAGGGATATCTTATTCATCCTCCGTCAGATTTAAAGGGGTCTGTTTGTAAAATAAAACTCTTGAACTTTTAAACATGTGATCTACCATCATTTATCTTAAAAGAGACTTACTGTTAATCAAAACAATTTCGGGATACCTTTTTGATTAGGAGAACCTTTATAATATTTAAATCAATGTATTTAAATCTACTAGCCTTAGAGGGCGCTTCGCGCCCATCTTCTAAATTAATTGTGAACATGTTCTCTTTGTGTACATCGTAAAACAAAACAAAAATAATTCGCGGATTTTCACAAAAAATTTCGTGGATTTTCAAAATTTTCAAAAATTTAATGAAGATCGAATTTTGATGGAGACAAATATTTGAAATTTTGATCATTCATAAACCTTCCCTGGGGTNGGACCTTTTAAAGTATTAGAAAAGAAATCTAAATATTTTAAAATTAAAATTGGTAATCGTGAAGATAATGTCTCAATAGACAGGCTGAAAGCAGTGATCTCAATTGATGCACCTACTCTAGAAGAACCTCCAAATAAGGGACGTCCCAAGAAAGTAGCAGTTTCTAATGGATTATTTTCAGTCTCAGTCCTGCTGCACCATGCCTGAAACTTGGGAGGGAGAACTGTAGAAGCCTGACTTTTAGTTATAAGAAAATATGATTTTGTCCTACATGTTAAAATTAGAATTGAGTTTGCATAAATGCGCAAACAGTTTCACTGATATTTCGCAAACTTGTTCAATCTCGGATTTTACACTAGTCATTCTTAGTATGTTAAACGAGTAACATATGAATAAATAAACTTGTGAAAATATGTTATCATTCTGAGTTATTGAGACTTCTATAAAACATAGTTAAACAATGTTTTAATTTTATTGAGTTTAGGCGTTGGTTGGAGTTACTCTGAGCAAAGAGCCAAGACATGAAATGGGGCAGCAATTGATCAAGAAACCACCTAACCATCTGTATCCTATCAGTTCCCGTTACCAAGCATACACGAATACAAATTCGTATCAGCAGTCACCAGTATCCAGCCTAGGATACAGTGCGGATTCTCAAGGATACAGGATCAGTACTCCAGGGGATTCAGAGCAGGGTTCACACCAGTACAAACTGAGCACCTTCTCCAGGTCCCAGAGCTATACTACGGATACTAAGGAGAACAGGATGCCTGGAGAGTATAGGAAGATTATCAAGAAACAGGATCTCCCTGGAGAAGTTTTACTAAACGATAATCATCAGGTTCCGCAGATCTCGGGAGAACAGTTCTACTTCAAACATTCTCAGATCTATCCCCAGATATCTTTTAACTTCACACGCAGACCTCCCCCAACTCAGATTCCGTTATGTATATCCCAGCGCACGGTTTTCCCACAGGTTCAATCAAACCTTATCCAGGTTCAATCCCAGATGACTCAGCACCAGCGGTCCGGTTATGTACCGAGCTATTTGACTCAAAACAAATGCTATGCTCCTGTTTCCAACTACACCCAAACCTTCTATCAGATGCCGAACAATAGAACGCCTATCCCAGTCGGCAATACTCCGAGAGGACCCCAGACTCAAGATCAATCTTACTACCCCTACGGGCAGGATCTGTCCTTGATGGTTCACAGACATGATCCATCCCACATGTCGAGGAGGCATCTCTCTACAGAGATATCCCCTTAGAATTGTCTAGAATTCACTAGATTGAGCAGGGAATAAAGAATTCAAACCCAACCCTAGGTTCCAGTAAACCCTGGAGCTATCAATACTAAACCTGGCCGGAGAAGATCTACAAAAATAGCATCAATTGCTTCCATGATGATAAACAATATATGACCATATTTTTTAATTTGTATAACCATGCATCCACTGCAATCAATAATCTAAAATTAATAGTAATTTAAACCTAACAAATGATTGAATATGTACATCAATAGAAACCTAGAATCATAAATGAATAGACATGAATATGCGAATTAGTTTTACAAGAGTTAGCATAATGAATGAATGAATATTGAACATAGACAACAATACGCATTATTTTATTATTAAATGAAAATTGAAAATGTCCTACAATGAGCAATATTAAAGATGTCATTGCACTTTATGAACAGTGAGCAAGAAACCCCAATTTTTGCATGTAATTTATTTGAAATGTTAGTTTGTAATTTTTTAATCAGATTTTTTTTTTCAGAAATAAAAAGATTTAGGGGCTGACAAATGAGGAATGTGGAAGATTATGATGAACACTCTGCAGTCCAGGAAGAATATGATGAACACTCTGCAGTCCAGGAAGATTATGATGAACACTCTGCAGTCCAGGAAGATTATGATTGACACTCAGTCCAGGAAGATTATGATGAACACTCTGCAGTCCAGGAAGAATATGATGAACAATCTGCAGTCCAGGAAGATTATGATGAACACTCTGCAGTCCAGGAAGATTATGATGAACACTCTGCAGTCCTGAGGGTGAAATATGTTTAAGAGATAAGCGATTAACTTCAATGACTGAACTGGAAATCCAATCTACAATATTTTAATTGACCGAATTATTTGAATTTGAGCCGCGTCTCAAATCCGTTAAAAACTGGTTTCAATTGAGCGCCGGCTTAAATCTTTAAACATTAAATACAATTTTAAGTGGAACCAACCATATTTGAGCCGCGGCTCAAATTCTTCAAATTCGGTCTTCTTTATATTATATAGAGAAACCACAATTAAAACTACCAATTATCTAGAGTGAAAGAATGGATGATGAATATATTATACATTCATGATCAAACAAATATTTTAGCGGTACCTTGTGAATTGAACATGTATTGAGGGTCACTTCATTACGGGTACACTGTACAGTCCCGTTCAGTCACAAAATGTTAACCAGTTTTTTTCTTAAATTGTTACTTGGGTATTTTCTTATAACTTACTTCATATCACCCAAATAAAGTTTGGTGTTACCAAAATGTATATTTTTTATCAAAATTCTGATTTGAGAAATAAATTCTAAAATATATCTATGTAAATATGGAATTCATTTCATATTTTATTTTGAGAGGTTATGTGCCACATAAATTCAGCCTGCTTATAAAAAGTCTCATCTATTTTTATGAAAGGGTCGACTTTAAAGTGTCGATACGGCTTGGGCTTTTATTTTACCGCTCTCACTCACTTATGCTATTCTGTAGCCCTATACATGTACATTTTAGCGCTGCAAAGCACTTGTTGTTAGCTTTGGGTTTTAAGAAGTAATTGGCAAAATTCTCATCGATTATTGCTTGAGGCTTTGAAATCGTTATATCACAGTGGTGCTAAAGGGCTTAAATCGTAATTTCAAGTGACCCTCCATGCAATTACCGAATCACAGCGAATCTGTTAGGGGAAAATTTTTGCCTAATCAAGTAATAATTCAATATCTATGTTTTAATATTAAAAATGGGTTATTTTTAATGAAAAACAACAATTTCTCCTACATTATTGATTAGATACAAGTTTTGAAGGGATTGTTGTGAATAGGGGATTGGTATCTTTGCATGGAGGGGTACTTAAAATTACTCTTACAGCCCCTTTTATCTAGTTCGGTAATTATCACAGATAAACATCGTGCAGAACAAGAATGTCTTCAAGGAGGGATAATATCGTATCTGAACTGGAGACTATCATCCAAACAAAAGACGAGGTTATGAAACGGAAGGATGATGAAATCGATAAACTAAAACAGGAGATAAAAAAGGAAAAGGACAGGAATATAAAGGTTCTTGAAGATATCACCAGGGACCTGGAAGATATGAAACTATCGGAGATGGGACGGAAAGGAGGAAAAGTGAAGAAACAAGATTTAGGAAAACTCAATAAAACATTAATGCCTAAGTTTTGTTTTCAATTTATAATTAATCAAGGATTTTTTGATAATCTAGGAACTGCCCCAGATCCTTACAGCTTTTCCAACAGTTTTAAAACTAAATATTATGTTTCTAAACTTTTAGTTTTAATCTTATTATTTAAAATCTACAGAGAATTTAATTATAAATGATTACAAGCAAATCAATGTTAAGGCTTTAACACATTTTGTGCTGGCAAAAAAATCGAAGAAAGCAAAGACAAGTTTGTAAAAACTTACAATAGAAGTGTTGGAAGTGTTGGAAGTGTTTAAAATGGATATTGTTTGAACCAATAGTTTGGGGTAAAATGAAAATCGGTTAAAAATTAAGTCTCTGGTATTAAATACTCTGATAAGAACTGTAATGCATCAGAAGATTTCCCAAACTTTTAAAATGCATAAAACATGATAAAATGTTTGTTCAAAAAAGCAAAATCCGTTTTTTTTGTGGAACCCTGTTTTACATTATTTTTTAGTTAAAATCAATGCACTAAAATTACACAAAAACAATCGAAAAATGTTGAGAGCAAAATCTTGCTTTGCTTGATCAATCTTAAAATTAAGTCTGCATGATGTTTTTTCGAAACATGAAAGATCTTTGAAAATGACCTTTTCAATTCCTTAATTTTGATATTTTATGAGACTTCAGATACCGCGGAAAATCAAGCATCTTTTGAAGAAATAAGAAAACTTCGTCAAAAGATTGATATTCAAGAGAAGAAGAATGAAAATTATGAAACTTTGATATCATTGAAAAACAATCAAATAAGCCTTCTTGAGAAGAAGATAAGTTCGTTTGTAATTCATCGGAAAAAGGACGTCAAGATGCTGGAAGAACAAGAGTTAACGATGAAGAAACTGAAGGAGGAGAACTCTAGGCTTGAAGTTGAACTGGAAAAGCTGAAAAAGAGAAACTTGATCCTGAGAAATGACAGACTGAAAGAAAAGTAGTCTGAGTTAAGACTTATCAGAGATGTTAGATTAAATTCATTTTCTCTTCAAGGACCAGAATAAACGATCTCTCATTGGCCGAATGACGGGGATTTGACCAATAAGAGATTAATATTCCTGCAAAGTTCCGTCTAGTTCTAAACTGTATATTGTTAAACACTAACTTAACTGTGGTATTTAACATGATAGAAAAATTGTTCACGTGGTCCATAATGTTTCAGATATAATGTCGTATTTATTGGGACTCCCAGTATGTCAGGATAGAGATTACACTGAGGTTATCATGAAAGATCTGGATAATCTTAAACTTGATGAAGGTCACGGTCAAACAGTAGAGAACCAAATTAAGGAAGAAGATATGGAGGTCACTTCAGAGTTTCAAGATATACCGGGGATAGGAGTAAATAGGAGAAGTCGCTCCAGAACAAAGATGGAGGTTTCCTCAAGGTTTATAGATGAACCGAGAAATGGAAATAGGAGAAGTTTCTCTGCTCATCCTAGAATGATTAAACTTGAAAACCTGATTGTCGCTCAACAGTTTGAAGATGCACCCGGAGTAGGAATAAAGAGAAGTCAAACTGTTTATTCTAGGAAAGATAAACCCAGAAACTTGGATATTACTCCAGAGCTTGAAGATACAGTTGGAGTAGGAGAAAAGATGAAAAGTCGAACTGTTCATCCTAGGAAGGATAAACCAAGAGATTTGGATATTACTCCAGAGGTGAAACCCACACCCAGAGTAGGATTTATAAAGAGAAATCGGACAGTTCATCCCAGATTAGACAAACCTAGAGAGTTGGATATTACTCCAAAGATTAAACATACAACAGTGGGAGTTACTCGCTCTGTTACTTTTGGAATAAACCAATCCGGAAGTTCAGCTGATGTGTTTAACAGGTCTAGAAAGAGAAGTAAGACGGTTTTAGGTTTTGGAGGATCAGGATCTTCGAAGAGAAGGTTTCTAGGATCACACATGGAGGATGTAGCTGGTTCTAGGTTAGATGAAAATACTGAGCCTATAGAGGCAAGTTTCTGTCAAGGTCAGAGAAGAAGTCTCCGTCTAGCAGATCTAAGACATGGAAAGATGGATCAAACTCGTCTGAATTAAAATTAGTTTTTTGGTTGGTTTCTAATTCATACATTTATTCTATAGTTGAGCTCAGATATAAACAAGGAAATTGTAATAATTTAGAATAGAATTATTTTCGTTCTTAATTTGTGCGAATGTTTCTGAGATTTATTTTCATTTAAGACAAACGCAGGATTTTGTCAAAACAACTGTCCAGTTTTCTAAATCCAATTTTTTCCTCAAACTTTCATTTTTTTAAATTACAACACAGATTTCCAAATACTAAATATTTTTTTTTTGATGAAATAATTCCGTTTTATTTTTTATTTCATCACAGATATCTCGAAATATTTTTTTATTTTTTAGAATAAGGATCTGTTTACTACATGTACAATACTAATGTAGTACAATATACAAATGGTAACTATTGTTACAGATAAAATGGCTGATTTAGATAAACCTGTTAATCCTGATAAACTTCGTAAGTTTAAATTAAAGATCTGTAGTTTAGAGAAGAGAATCGATGAAAAAGATGCAACTATTCAAAACCAAAAAAGAATTATTGCAGAGAAAAGTTTAATGTTGAAGAGAAAGGAGGAGGAAAGCGGGATTAAAAAAAGTCTGCAGGGCGGTCCAAAAAACATGGAAATGAACAATTTATAGGTCGTCTTTTTATTTTTACGGCTTTCAATTGTTATCTTTGTTTTAGTAAAACAAATATTCTATTGTCTTTTTCGACGTCATTGATTTGAAAAATGCTTTGAACTTCTTAAAATAAGTAAATCCCTGTTCTTTTTATCCTGTCATGTTTCCTAAACATGGCCTGCGTATTTTATACCTTTTTAATTAGTTGGGTAGTTTGTTGTAGTAAACAAAAATTCTAATAAAAGCATTTAATTTATAAATCCTCTAAGGAAAATGGGTTATTTTTCATTAAAATTATCAAATACTAATATTGAAACATTACAAATGATTTCGTGTTTATTGTTTCCTCCTGTATATCAGGAAACAGAATCAACGGACGCTATTTTAAAGACTATTGATAATCTCAAACTTGAAGACGATCCTGCTCAAACAGTGAACGACAAAATTGAGGAAGGAAAAACAAAGAAAGAAATTATAGGAGAGGAGAAGAACAGGATTGAGGAAGAGAAGAACAGGATTGAGGAAGAGAAGAACAGGATTGAGGAAGAGAAGAATAGGATCGAGGAAGAGAAGAACAGGATTGAGGAAGAGAAGAACAGCATGGAGGAAGAGAAGAACAGGATGGAGGAAGAGAAGAATAGGATTGAGGAAGAGAAGAAAAGGATTGAAGAAGAGAAGAACAGGATGGAGGAAGAGAAGAACAGGAGCGAGGAAGAGAAGAACAGGATCGAGAAAGAGAAGAACAGGATCGAGGAAGAGAAGAACAGGATTGAGGAAGAGAAGATCAGGATCGAGGAAGAGAAGAACAGGATCGAGAAAGAGATGAACAGGATCGAGGAAGAGAAGAACAGGATAGAGGAAGAGAAGAACAGGATAGAGGAAGAGAAGAACAGGATTGAGGAAGAGAAGAACAGGATGGAGGAAGAGAACTGGATCGAGGAGAAGAGCAGGATCGAGGAAGAAAAGAACAGGATGGAGGAAGAGAACAGGATCGAGGAAGTAAAGAACAGGATCGAGGAAGAGAAGAACAGGATCGAGGAAGGAAAGAGAAAGCTCGATGAAGAAAAGAACGTGACAAATAAAGAAACGGAGAATGGAGTTAAGGACAAAAACCTTTATAAGAAAAAAATTGCAGTTGAGTTTGCTGCAGCTAAGGAAGAAATCAGGAACTTGGAAAAGAAAATATCTGTCCTGGATAGAAGGTTTAAATTAGAGTGCAATAAAAATGATGAGAAACAGAAACTGATTGATATACTAAACAGGGATAATACAAGGTTAAAGCAAGAGGTAAAGAATTGGGAGAATAAGAATAAAGAACTTCTAGAAGATCATCTAGATAATGTCATCAAACTTCATAATCTGAGGTACTTTACTGTTCTGTACTGTTCATTTAACTGTACTGCTCTGTATTGCACTTTACTGTGCTGCTCTTTGTAAGGTATTTAACCGTACTGATCTGTATTAAAATGTATATTTAACTTTAAAGTTCTCCGTATTGTACTTTATTTAACTGTAATACTCTGTATTGCAATGTATTTTAGTATACTGCTCTTTGTAAGGTATTTAACCGTACTGCTCTGTATTGAAATAAATATTTAACTTAAAATGCTCCTTATTGTACTTATATTAACTGTACTACTCTGTATTGCAATGTATTTAACTGTACTGCTCTGTATTGCAATGTATTGCAATGTATTTAACTGTACTGCTCTGTTTTGCAATTTATTTAACTGTACTGCTCTGTATTGCAATGTATTTAACTGTGCTGCTCTGTATTGTTTATTAATTTTAGGTTAGAGATAGCAGAGAATTCTAAAAGAGAAGACAATCAAGAAGGTTTGTTTTTATTGTTGAATGTTTTACACGTAGTACGCGTTGCACAAGTTGTACAGCATGAATACATTGTACAGAGTGTACACTGCACAGGGTACAGTTTACAATTAAGCAAGCGTGCTGATATTTTATGATTTCTGGGCTTAAATTGGAAAACAGTGGCGTATAACTTTCGATTGACTTTAATTTTTAAGTTTGAAATTCAGGGTGTGTGGGATCATTTTCATTTTTCTCCCATGATCGTTAAAAATCAATCTACCCTGTGAAAGGGGACGGAGGAGTGCTATTCTTGAAAATGTTAACTGCACATTTTAAAAACAGTAGTTAATGCTAGAGCCTCAATTTTCGTTTTTTTGGATATTAAAAATATCTGCTAAAACATTTCCTTGTACTACGGTGGTAAGCAATTAATATCACTACAGTGAAGACGACTTTTTAATTAAGTTTGATTTAATAAAGCTTTTTTCGAGTTACAAGTTTACAAGTAATCCAAGGGAAGCTTTTTTAATTATAAATTCTCTTGACTTCTATGTTTTTGTGTATCGATGCTGTTAAACAGCTTAATTTAAATCAAAATTGAATTCGAAAGTCGTCGTCTTTGTATTGATATAATAGCCTACCACTGTATATTCTCTGCAAATTTTGTTGCCTTTTTTTAGTCTTGTATCCCTGTACTTTCTCTAATTAACGTATGTTATTAATCGTTCTGAGTCCGAATTTAATGAATTTGAGCCACGTCTCAAATCCGCCAAATACCGGTTTCAATTGAGCGCCGGCTTAAATCCTAATACATTTAATACAATTTTAAGTGGAACCAACTATATTTGAGCTGCGTCTCAAATTTAAGACGCGGCTCAAATTCTTTAAATTCGGCCTTTGGTTTGTTTCACAAAAACTTTTGATAAAACTTCCAACATATTTCAAAACTGTATTTTACATTTGCTTTTATTGAACTTTGTAATAATTTTTAAAAATGGAAAACGAACCAAAAAATAATTCGTCACCTTCGTTTTTGGTTCATTTGTTTTGCATTAATTTTCTCTCGGGGTCAAATTTTGACAAAGTGTAAGTTTGAAACTTTTTGTGGAACCTTCTTTAACGAAGCCAACTTATTTCACATCACTATTCACTACCTTGAACTATCTTTTTTAGAATCTACAAATCAAGAAGGAAATAAAAAGAAATCCAGAAACATGGGAAGGGTCTCCCAAGGGAAAGAAACACTGGATAAACAAGAAAGAAAAAGTCCTCAGCAAGTAAACAATGACAGAAAACAAGGTCAAAATAAAAAGAAAGAAACTTATGAAAGAACGAGAATCGAAGAAAACAAAGGGAAAAAAGTTGAAAGTAAAATTAAGAAGAAAGATGACACCACTAGGTCTAAGAATGAAGGTTTGCCGGTCGTTAGACAAGTGATCACGGAGAAAACTCTTAAAGAAAAAAATGTAAACAAAAAAGTTGTCGGAAATAAAAACGGATTAAAGACCTTTAGACGAAATGAAACGCTATATAAAGAGTCAACTGAACCGAGAGAAACCTGCAGTGGAGAGAAACAACCAGAAAAAGGTGGAAGAGAGGGCGGAAAAGGTGGAAGAGAGGGCGGAAAAGGTAAATCTAACGAAAGGAAAGCAAAGTTACTCAAAAAGGAGAAAGGGAGAAGAAATGCTACTGAAGAAGAGGGCAAAGCAAATATCAGCGGAGAACGTGAAACAAGAGTTCAGCGTGTCTTCCCTGGGTTCGGAAATAAAAAAATAAAGAATTAAATATTTTAAAGGAGAAAAACAATATTGATTGGGAATATTTAATAAGAAAATTGTTGCAGTATTTATCGTGAGATGAAAATTAGTAAAACAAATGATATTAATTTAAAAACTTTGATTTTAAAATTGGATTGTAAAATAAATTGTGAAATCTTAACTGCAAGAGTTGGTTAATTACCAAATAGATGATCAAGTACTTCAGGTTATTACAGCACTACAGTGGTTACAGCTAATTAGTTCTCTTTTATTTTTATTTTTAACATAAAACAACTTCCCACGTGGAAACTGGTAACAAAGGAAATATCTGTTACCCATAGGGCAAATAGCTTTTTTATTTTAGTTTAATCTTTTGACGGTAGAGAGAAGTTTAAAAGCCGTCTTAATGACTATTGAATTTATTTCTCATGTTTGATTCTCGAAACAATAACCACAGAACTTTCCAAGATCTGGGATTTCCAAAAAGTGGTTTGCCTTTTTGTGTTGTCAATAATACCAGAGATCTTGAGAATTTTTTGCAATTTATTTAACTGTACTGCTCTGTATTGCAATGTATTTAACTGTACTGCTCTAGTTCTTTATATAGTGACTTGTGGATAGAGAATTAAGTTAATAAAATTGATATTTTTTTCATGGCAGGAAAGCTACGATATACGATACTTCTCTGTTAATTTAAGGAGGTTATACATGGTGTTCGGTGATAGTAGCACGACGTGCTAACGCATGCCGCTTAATAAAAAAAAACGAATTCAAAGTCTCTATTTTATTGTCAATTTTAATACATCCATTCTACAAGAAGAAAAAAAATTAAAAAGCATGTAACTAAATAAATATATTTTGAACCGAAATAACGAAATGATCTAAACATGAAGATTAGTTTGTGAACCCTGAGCGTGACGGTCAGCTCCTCGTGGTTTCCTCAGGGTCATCCTATCCTTGAAAGTATGGAACCAGGCTCCAGAATCCTGGAACCTCAGATTCCTGATACTCCCAGCCAGGGACTTCTGGTCGAATGTAACAGATCGTCCACTGCTCCGCCGGAATAATCTAGAAATGAAGTCGTCTAATTCCGTACAGTCGTCTCTGAAGTCTCGTATTTAAATGACGATCTACATTGATAACCAAAAAACAGTTCTTTCTTATTATTATGAAATATAGTTGTTAATCACTAGAAAGAACAAATACGAACAAAAAACTATGCTGGAGTTTTCTGATTACTACTGCAGTGTAAAGCTGTAGAAGCACCGTTCATAGTAGAATTACATCATATAAAGTAAATTGACAATAAAAAAAATTTACAGAGCCGCGCGCAGCATGATTCGATAGGAATTGAGTCTTCGCCTCAAACTCTGATCTTCTAAACCCTTTATCTTTGGATTCCAAAGTAGGGAACCTTTGACACTTCAAACTATGACTTTTGATAGATAAAAAAATATAAGTTTGAAATATTAAAGGTTTACGACATTGGGTTCCAAAGATATACGGATTAAAAAATCAGAGTTTGTGGCAAAGACTCAACTCCTTTACTCAAGTCATCCCGGATTATGACGGATACATTCGGTTATTCACTAAATTGTTCTAACACATACCACATACATATTTATGCCTTTCTTCCCTTAAAATTAGAGGGTTGCCAAATCTTGGAAGACAGTTCATGGTTAGTCACTATAGACATGAAAACTGAAAAGACCAGGAAATTCGATATGTGCATGTGCCATATGCATTTACTGAGGTACATTTTTATAGAACACCGTGCAAAGTGCATGCAGTTAATATTAGATTATGGGCTATGGCTATGGATTAATTAAATTAAAACAAGGACCAAAAAACCACATCCGTAAAATCCGGGATTATGTTTGTTTTGTTTGACGAATTTCTTGAAAATAGGGAAGTCAAACCAAACAGCTTTCTTAGATTTATTTCTATTTGGTCTCTTCGTTCTGATCAAAAATCTTCAAAAATATTTTTTTTTTTGCTCCAACAAATAGAGCAAAAATACGTTGATTGAAAAATAATGGAGATTAAATTTGAATAAAGAGTTAGAAACTTTCACACGCTTTTTTGCCGATGAGAAAAATTAAAATAAAATCCCATGAATTAAAAACTTTATGTTCTCCGCCCAAAAAATTAGGGAGAGTGGGATTTAGGCATGGTTCCTAACTTGGCGGAGGGGGGGATAGATAAAACTCCTAAGAATGCGCGAATACCGGATAATTTTTCTTATATTCTCTCTCTCTATGACAGCTTGTTTCTATAGATAGTACGGGTTAAGGATGGATGTTGAAAAGGATGGATACGAATGTTATTAATTTGATATAATGGGATTTATGTTGTGTGCAATGCCCTGGAAAATTCCGAAACAGAGAGAGGGGGATTGAATTTTGTAGATCCAGAAAAATAATTAAATTAGTATTTATTTAGGGTTAGGTTAGGTTAAGACACTGCGGCCACATGTCTTACATTTAAGACCCCACCAGCTGTCAGTCTGTACGCAGGCATCCCACAGATATTATACAAAATACACTTTAGAATATTAAAATATCATATTTCAATTCCACAGTTTTATGAGTCTCACTGTACTTCGCAAAAATTTGGAAATCAGCTTTTCGCTTAAATGTCTAGCTCACATGTATATGTAATATATATGTGAGCTGGCTAAACGTCTGGACCGCATAGGCTGAATTTTTTGAGGAAACCCATGGGAAGCAAAGGATAAAATGGTCCCAAAAAAAATTCAACATTTTTTTAATCCACGGGTAATGCCAGGCACTCCAGCTAGGTTTTATAAAATTTTACTAGCACACTTACACATTGTCTGTTTTATTGATATTTTACACTTAGACCTAGTGATATAACATGGTTTGGCTGGTTTTTGAGCTTTTCCAACAATTGTTAAGTAAAAGTAGGTTTTTATTGAACCAATTTTTATATTAAAATATCATTTCTTCCTGGGTCAAAGTTTGCATACTACGAAAAGTAAAAAGTTCAACTTCTCAGATTACTTTGGAACCTTTTTAAGTCCAAACAGCTCGCAAGTGTTTAAAACACTGTCCAAGCTATGTTCCATCAATGCCTGGATCAAACCGTGGATCGACATATTTTCTAGTAGATCAAGATAAGAGTACGCCAGCAGATTTTGATTTGAAATAAACCAAATTGAATGTGCTAAAGCACTTATCTTTATTTTTAGTTTCCTGCAGCTGAGAACTTGCTATTTCTTTGCCAAATGATTTAAACATCATTTAAATAGGAATAGGAAAGGAAATGGCACTGGTCTGGCATGAGAAAGCCAGTCTCACTACTTTTCAGACTAGTTCGGTATTCCTTACACACACTCTTTTGGTAGACACACGACATGACTACAGTCAAGGAATTGCAGAACAATGTCGTCAATTATAATTAAAATTAAAAATCGAGTACTTTATTGTAAACTTTAATCAAATTAGATTCTTTGCATAAAAATTTGTCTTAAATATGTAAATAATATATTACATGTATATTAAACTTATTTTTAAGTAAACAGTTAACAATAAACTAATGCACTCTCCTAGACTGTAAAAAATACCGAGATTCTTATGTACGTATACAAGTACACGCCTTCGGTTAGATATTCCTGACACACACTTTTTTGTACAGGTACACACACATGACGTTTCCGCCCCCTGACTATAATTAAGACGGGAAACCTGTAACAAGGGGGCTGGGATGTACTCTAAGTTAAGGTTCTTTAATCCTAATTGGGGAAGGCCGCGCTCCCCCTACAAGGTCAATAGGCCTTAGCCTAAGTAAAGGAATAGTGGTAAATATTAGGATTGACATTGTGACACACGTATTCAAAGTTGTGAAATTATGGAACACCAACCATGACGATCAAAAAAAGTATTTAAACAAAAAAATCTCTTATTTCCTGTTAGGTCAAGTAGTTTTAAGGTGAAAGTGTAAAAATAAGAGTACTAGGGGAAAACATGGTGAGGGGGTGGCCTGAGCGACTTTAGTCAACCACCCGAGTCTGTTTTTAGTAAAAATTCCTAGAAAGGATACCTCAATTTCGGCTTAAAAAGTCAATTTATTTTCCAAAAATTTAAAATGCGACGCTCTGCGCTAGTTGTGCAGAAATTAAATAATACCCCGTAACATTTGTAGCATTATTATTGCTGAGCAAAACATTAAATTTAAAACTAGGTTCAAAATTCTTTGAAGGATAATTAAAAAGACTATTAGTCATTATAAATAAAAAAAATTCGTGCATTTCCTGTACTTGAATACAAAGCAACTAAGGATAACTCCCTAAAGGAACTGAAGCAAATACATATATTAAAGCAAACAACACTCAAGGTATAGTTACATTATTTATTTTAATTCATCTCCGAAAAGAAGATGTTTTATTACAGGGTAACATTAAAGAACAATAATAATCTGTATAAAAATACTTCCAGGTTACAGGAGGGTATCAAGCATGTGGGTTAGACAAGTGTGCAGCTGGAATATTTAAATAAATAATTTTAAAAATTTTAAACACTTCTTTCAAAATCTAAAAATATCCCAATTATTAAATTTATGATTACAACTAAGTCTGTTTTACTGCTCAAAGATGTACACGAGAGCCATAATGTTCAAAACGTTGTGTCGTTAACTTATCAATATTATTATTAAAAAACAGCTCGACAGTAAATGAAATTGAGGCCCCACGTTCTCCCGATAGGTGTCTTCCCACAAAGTGTCAAAATATGTGGAAAAAGCGCTAAAACCCGTGGATTTCTCAGTGAATATCAGACAGAGTTGGGGAAATAAAATCAATTTGGAGGATTTGGAGCAGTAAAAAAAAATTAGTTGTGATCCTAAATTTGAACTTATCATGGGTATTTTGAATTCTGTGAATAGTCTCTTTGAAATATAATTGCAACCCCACCCGACATTTGTCTAGAACACACAAGTACTATGAAAATCACAGATTTGTCAGCAGCCATGTCTGTCAGCTACGCTGTCATTGCAAGTGGTTTATCTCCGGCTGTGACAGCGGTTTTTCAACTTGTATTCACACTTCCAATATACTCAGAGAACTGAAGAAAAAAGGAAAAATATTTGAGTATTAAAATCTTAAAATATACAAAATTGCATTTCTTTGTAAAATTCATGTTTATGTAAAAATATAAAACAGTTTAAGTAAATATAGATAAAAATAGAGATATGTATAAAAGTTAATAAAAATGGAAATAAGCTGCAAAATCTAGTTAATTGTTATAATTTTTTCCAAATCTTTGAGATAATGTTTACTAGTTTAGTGTTTAGTTTTATGTATCCTGTTGTGACATACAAAAAAAGACGAAAGAATTTTGGTTTTAAAGTATTTAACATCCCATTTACAATATACCCATTTTTCAGAAACATTTTATGTAAATTTTTTCTCGATATAATGTTCTAATTCACTTTTCTTCCGCTCAGCAATTGTCCAAAACTTAGAAAGCATGTTCTCAATGTTGGTTTTCTTCTCATCGTCCTTTTACACTCTAGTCTCTGGTCCTATAACGCAACTGAAAATAGGGGCAAAAATAATCCTCAGCAAAAAATATAAATTTTAACAAACTTTTCATTTAAAAAAAAATCAGGATTGTTTTTAACCCTATTCGTACTTTAAAATATTAGTAGTTTTAGTGTGTTAGAAAAAAATTAACAAAAAATCAAAATTCAACAAAAACTTTAATTTTACCGAGAATAAAGAAGATCTACTGCTGCATGGATCTCCTGGAAATGGGGTCGATCGTCAGGATCGTACTGCCAACATCTAAATTATCAATTGTCAATCATTAGATCAATAACCCCCCCCCCCC